TACAGAGAGTGGGAATTAGAATAAAGGTAATGAAGCGCTTTCACCTGTTATCAAGCAGGCGCCAGGAAACAAATGCGAAAATAAAGTGCAAACAGTTCAAAGATTCGGAACCCAATCTGTATACGATGAAATAGCGAGTGACATTAGCTTATGACGTAACTTCTGCTACTATTAATTTTTGGTACGAGAATAGACTGCAGTTTTAATTAATTTACGAGAATCAATCGTTTCTGTGTTACCAAGACAAAACGAAAACGCATTTAGTAGTAGATGAACTTTAGAAGCCCCATGTGCTTTGGGAAGCATGGATTGCATTTGCGGCTCGAAGCTGCAGAAGTGATCTAGTGCATGTTTTAAAAAACAACATAAATAAAAAATTACATTTCTGTAAACATTTCGCCGCAAGCCATTCATTTACTTTTTTTTTTTTTTTCAGAAGCTGTGCATATGCCAACAGAACGTAAATAGAGCCTACCTACATACCAGAATACAAAAAGTTAATAATTACCGAGTTCGTTGTGAACCGTGTGCGGGTGGCCGCAGTAGGCTCACCACTCAGGGTGGTGCGTTCCACCGTGCAGAGGGTCCCGGTAGAGCTCTTTACACGAGCAATCCGAGCGGAACCCCCGCCTGATTCCCTTCATGTCAACGTTCGTTGCCATTGCCTCACTCTGAAAACAAGATTGTTAATAACGGTCAGTCATTTAACGCCCATAGTCAACCTAGCCCTAAAGCGCATAAGAAAAAAAAAAGAAAAAAAAAAGAAAAAAAAAGAAAACTTCTGTTTATATATTTTTCGCGGATGTACGACACAGAAAAAAAAAATATTCAGCCAGCTACAGAAAACAAAGAGCATAATAAACATCATACAATCTCCAAAACCAAAAACATGGTCGGCGCCAAAAAAAAAAAAAAAAAGCCGGTAGCTGTGCCGGCACGACCGTCAAAATATAACGAACAAAACAGTACGCCAAAGAAATACAAAAAAAAAAAAGAAATGTACTCCCTGGTTACCGCTACACCTTTCCCCCCTTTCCGCAGACGCCGCGACGCCGACGCAACGCGAAAACATTATTTCTTCTTTTTGTTTTGTGCTCGTCCAATCCCCCTGCCCTTTTCACAAACATACATACACATTATGGGTTTTTGCTCGCCGCCCACTTGAGGAAAAAGTGTTCATAATCACTGCAACGCTAACGATGTCTACAACATAACGTTGCAGTGTAAATTGCTGTAATGAATTGTGAAGGCAAACAAACGCAAAATCGCCAACATTGTTTCTGTCAATCAACGCTCTCGGGCGGTCAACCTCAAGCATTTAGAGTGCACACCGAGAAACAAATCGGCGAGCCAAGCTTACAAACACTGACTGCCCCAGCTAGGGTGCCTTTATGTTGGCTTTGCCTTAGGGAGGGTGATGCCATCCTTTGTAGTACTCTATGCCGACAGTGTACGCTCACGGATAAAATACAAGGCAATTGCCGGTAATAAAATGCCGGCGTAGCACTGCCAAAGCTAGCAGCTCGAGCTGGGAGAAGAACGAACGCGCGTTCGAAATTAAAAAGTAGACAAAAGCGTCGGGCAGAAAATGGTCTGATATCACCAGCCTAAGACAGACGCGTACACATTGGGACACCCTAACCCGCTAAAAGTGTTCTGTGCGAAAGACAGCTCTGCGGCTCACGGCAGGGCAAACGATTAGCGACACTTTGTCCTAGCTGAACGAGCAGATCCAGGAAGCGACCGCGTCCGCGGACTACAGCTGAACACTCTCACTCTACATGCAAAGCTCGTGCATCTCACAGCCAGCGTGAAAATATCGATGGCTCGTTATTCCCACTTGCAATGCACCCAAAACAAAAGCGCCAATATGACAGGATTACTCACCCGAAGGAAGTCAAACGAGCAGCATGACGCTTGCGACTCTCCGGCAACGACCGTTTCCAGCTCTCCGTGAATTGGCGCGAAGCCTCAGCACCATCCGAACTCTTTGCCGTGGATTAGTGCGCCTGCCCCTCTCCTCCTGACCGAACTACATTGGTCCAGTTAAGAGGGACCAGTCCCCTCTTATTATGAAGGGAGACGCGTGAATCTTTCTGTCGGTCTTTCCTGTTCAGAGGGACCAACGAAACGGTTTCCTTGGTCTCTCTTAATATGTTGGTGTCCCTCTAGATGTTGCTATTTTATTTTTCAATTTCCCTCTTAAAAAGAGCTGTCCCCCTGAAAGCATTGTTGTCCCCTCTAAAATCAGAGGGACAGCGCTTTTTATGAGAGACCGGTTTTAGAGTGTAGAGTAAGACCCCGTCCCTATGGGTGACGAAAAAAAATGAAACATTTCAACCTGGAAATAGTAAAAAGATATAGGTGAGGTAAAACAAGAATGGGTGACGGTTACGCTTATCATCCTGAATGACTTCTATTGGCGAGGTGACGGCTAAACCTTGCCTTCGGCCATACTTGAAGTGACGAGATTCAAGATGGCGACGGCCTCGTAAAATATGTATAACACCTTTTCTCACAAGGGCGCCGTCATCTTGCATGTCGTCACTTCCGACGGAAGTGACGACATGCAAGATTGCAAGGAAGGAAACATTGTTTAGCCGTCGCCACGCCAATAGGAGCCATTCAGGATATAAGCGTAACCCTCACCCATTCTCGTTTTGCCTCACCTCTACCTTTTTTATTATTTGCAAGTTAAAATGTTTCATTCGTTTTCGTCGCCCAGGGGTGCGGGGATGACAGTAAACAAAAAAGATGTCGGTGGAGATAAAACTCATTTTTGGATAGATGAAATTTCATTTCAAAATATCGGAAATAACGTTTCTTTTGTATATATATACTTAATTTTAATTAGCGCCGGAATGCAGCAATGTCGTCACGAATATGACCGGCATGGGCGTGATAATTTTTCCTACGCATATCTGACTACAGTGGGCTAAACTGTCGTTTGTGGAGTCGGCGAACTTCGCACAATTTCACAAATACCACGCTTCGGTTTTTGTAGGTCGGTGTATACTGTCTCGCGTTATTTTGTTTGTTTGAAAAAAAAAACGTTCCACTTCTGACACCGCAAGTCACGTAGTCGGGAAAGTCGACCGGTGATATAATGTGCCGCAGTCCAAATTGGGGAAACACCAAACCGCCCGTCGTTATTTATAGCCGTGTATAGACCATTCCAGTAAAGAGCTGCAGGCCGGTGCGCATTTTCAGCGTTCGTGCATTTTGTGCGTGCTTTGCTCTCATTCCAGCGCGTGCCATGGGCTCATATTGCACACATGGCTGTGGGTTTTGAAACGTTAGAACGGTGGATATAACTATATAATGGCGGGGACAATTTGTACACGACAACATGCACAGACGCGTAGGAATTATACCTTATTGTATAGATAGCCGAAGGTTTTCTGCAGTGGCGTACCAACTTGTTCTTGAGTGGGGGGGGGGGGGGGGGGGGGCAATCCAGACCCCCCCCCCCCCCCGCCCCCCCCCAGGCCCGAGGGCGGTGCGCCTGGTCTGCGTTGGGTACCGCCGGCCTGTGTTTGCCCTGCACCGTGGCGGCTGTTTTAGGGGGGGGGGGGGGGGGGGGGGGGGGCGAAACACATGCCTTGCCCCCACTCTAAGAACTGGGGAGGGGGGGGGGGGTGACCGCCCCCTTTGCCCCCCCGGTTGGTACGCCCACGGTTTTCTGGAACGTCTCGCCTAACCGTTTGATTGCGGATTTTACGGCAATCCTAAGAACAATTAAACCTCTTGTAAACTATAATTACAGACCTCGCGGTTCGGTCATGAACTCGCATCGCGTGTTATTTAAAACAATAGACTAAATAAACAATTACACCTATCGTGGTGCTACTTGGAATTTCGCAATCGCGAGTGTATACAGCTGATACACAAAAAGAATCGATCGGTGCCCTCGTGGTGATGTACAGGTACTACGTCAATAAATCAATCAATTATTGTTCGAAGAACGAAATAACCGAGCGTTTACGTGTCCTAACCATGCAATTGAGTAAACTTATCAGGTTCGCATATAATGTCTTTTGATGTGTCCCAGCTATATGTATCAGGGCCGCTTTGCACAATACTGGCATTACATTTTATTATTTTATGATTATCTATAGTCCCCGCTAGGCTTCAGAAACACGGGGGGCGGGGGCCTGACTTATAATGTTTTCGAACGCCTAATGCCGCAGTCTGATTGGCTGCGGAAGGATAATCAGATGCACGGGGAATAGCCTCGGCGATCACACCTTCATCGAAAAAATCCTTTATGCCGCCCCGCCTCATTACGCTGCGAGACATATTTCTAAAGATTAGCGGCATATGGTTTGCATATGGGATGTCACCACAGTATCTGTGTGTACCATCAATGAAATGTTAACCAAGTAATTAATGTCACTCTAACGTAATACCTCGTGCGTGTGTGTGTGTGTGTGTATGTGTGTGTGTATGCATAATTTGATCGTGTGTATTCTGTAAGGCGCCCACTCGACTGTTCAGCCAATACCGTCCATACTAATTATAGCCCTTGCCGAAATCACAATATTACATATTCTCTTCGTGGCACTCAAATACCTTACACATTTAAAAGTCCGAAAGCTCGAACACGTGGCGGCTCACGGCTCCGTTAGTCTAGCGTGTTTCGATGAGAAATTGTAGCGAGGGGTGGTATATAAATAGAAAATGTACGCGGGTGTCCATTTTATGTTTATCGCAAAAGGTCTTATGTAGTTAAACTCCCATTATGCTAGACATGGCTATACGCGATTATTGGGTACACATCTACACTGCTCCTTCCTTGGCCTATATCTTATAACAGCGCATGCATGTCGCGACTTCTAAGATCCAAGTGACTCGTTTAGGACGCTGGCGTTTCAACAATTATGAGAATAATTGGTATAGCAATAGATTACCAAGTCAGCTTGACCCAAACATCGCGCGTGCAATAAACCAGAAGCGCACGTTACCGGTCAACGAGGGAGGAAAACAAAATCTGGTCTTACGTGCATGTTTCTGCGAACTCCGCAGGCATCCCGATCCCCACGAAGGCATGATGACTTGCTGATGTCGGTCGAAGGATATAACTTCCGTTTAAGCAGCAGCGTTGTTCAGAACACAAACACCTTCACAACCACAGGCTCACGAAACAACACCGGCTTCACCAGCACCTTGAACATCAATGTCTTCGGCAACTCGGAAACTGCTGAGTCACCAACATGACTTGCTGCGATGTTCCGCCGTATCGCTTGTCTGAGTGGGGAAATCGTGGAAATTTCGGCAGGGTCTGTAGTGATGCGCACTCAAGTCGTATTGAAAGGTGATCTTCAGCAGCTGGCTGACCTTCAGCAGCTCAACTGCTGAGTCACCGACATGACTTCGGCGCTTGCGGCGGTGTTCCACAGAATCACTTATCTGAGGGAGGTGACCGTGGAAATCTCGGCAGGGTCTGTAGTGACGCGCACTTGAGTCGTTTTGAAGGGTGATCTTCAGCAGCTCTTCAGCAGGCAAGCACTACTTTAGCATCACAAGGATGCGCACCCCTTCACCAATTAACCTGAGGTGTCTCATATATGTATTCACACTTGGTCGCAGCTGAGCTCGTTCAGCACTTTTACATCCGCTTCTTCAGCACAGAAGCGTAGCACCGAACTAGATCACCGGCAGTAGCTTCTTGGCGAGTGTACGCTAGCACAGTTGATTCGTCTGCGCTAATTTCACTCCAGTATCTATATTATTGGATAATAGAATCATTCCCAATCCTCCACTAATGCAGCCTCTTTAGCTTCCACAGCGAACCTTCTTCAGTGGTGTCCTCAGCAGCTGGTGGACGCGTCGAAGTGGAATCTTCAGCACGTTTTCAGCAGCCACATCAGAACATCGCACCAATCGGATTGAGTATCTCTCGAACCGCAGATGTGCTATAGTTTTGTCCCACTTGTGATCGTCGAAGGCTTTGTTCAGCACTTTGTTCAGCAACGTCGTTAGACTCGCGGCAGAACGTCGCACGCAGTTTGCGCCCGGGCTGTGACTCAGTGTCGTCTGCTTCGAAAAACGGTCTGCTCCGAACAAGCGCGGAAGGAAAAAAAAAAGTATCCGAAAGAGCGATGGGTGGCGTGGAAAGGAGAAGGCGGTCGCTATGGTTACCGCAGAAACGCCTGTCTCCTGATTGGTCGTGGCCCGAGGTTTTCAGGGTTTGCAACCCAGAGTGCCGTAAATAAGCGCACCGGCGCTGGCATGCGTCCAAAATGGCGGTTGCGCGTGCCGCGGCGAGGTTTTAAAAATAAGGGGCGCCCAACGGAAAGAGATAGAAAAGCAGAACGGCAAGAGTTTAGTTTGTAAAAAAATAAAAACAGGAAGAGCGGCGGTTCTTTTTTCGAAAAGGAGGACGCGGGGTCGCTTTCGACACCTGATCCTGCCGCGGGTGCAAACAGCCTGGGCTCATAACCGATTAGTCGGAGGAAGAGGTTAGCTCTGGAGAGTCTCGCTGCCTCGTCTGCACCGGACGAACGGACAACCGACACTGTTCGCCGACACAAACCAAATCCTTTTTCTTTGTTTCTGCGCATGCGCAGTACCCACCGTACCTGGTGTGGGCAAGCGCGGGCTTGTCTCCGAACAGTCTGTTGTTGTATACACCAAATTCTGTCTCTGACATCAGTGTCGTCACAACAAGTTGGTGGTCGTTGTTTGGTGACGTCCAAGATGCCAACAAACAAATATAAGCTCGTACGCTTTCCGTCGGACGCACAACAAAAAGTCACGCAACGGAAGTACACCATTCCTGTTTGCACCAGCGCGGCAAACATTTGTGGCCGAACATTTTGACCGCAGACGTAACAAAACTTCTTTTTTTTTTTTTTTTTTTTTTTTTTGGGGGGGGGGGGGGGGGAGGGGGGGTTGGTCTTAGTTTTTTTTTTTAGTTGCCGTTGACTTTGCGAAGATTGATTGAGTATTGATTGAAAATGCTTCCATTTGGCAAGTCTTCTGCTTAGCGATGAGGAAAAAAAAGGGAGAGGGGGGGGGGGGTGGTGAGCTGTTTTCAGCTTACCGCGTATATCGGCAATCCCCAATCGAGATTGTCGCTTACTATGCGAAAGCGAGAACGATACAGCCCACAAAACCGCGCTTTTTTTTTTTTTTTTTTTTTTTTACGTTGGTGAGTGGTTTACATGGTTATATAGCGAATGCACAAAAACGACGAGCGCCGTGACGATGCACTTTTGGAGCAGCTTGATTGGCTTCATCGGATCGTGGCTACGGTAGGACTTGTAAAACGAAGTATACAAAAAAAAAATGTCTTAAATGTTTGCAGGGCAATCGATCCCCCTGTTCCCGGCGACGGCACTATTATGGAGGCGGAGCTCTAGTTGTTCCAACCCGCATTAAATGTTTAAAAAAAAGAGCAAGTTGTGTTGCAGATTAAAAACAATTTACACCCTTAGGGGAGCTAATCAGCTTGTCTTAGGGCTAGCACCGCGTGGGTGTTGCAGCAACACCCTTCTGATGTTGGCGAATACCCTAAAAATGGGGTGCTGGCAACATAAGCAGTATCTACAGAGAGAGGAAGAGAGAGAAAGAGATTTTACGGAGGAACAACTGCAGCGGCTATAGCACGCACCACATACAGCTACAAATTTATAGACGTCAGGAATACAGACGCAATGGGGAGCTTTACCATTAAAAGCCTGGGCAGCTTTTTCATAGAAAGGGAGTAAGCGGCTTTGACCCCATTCCTGCAAATCTGTCTGAAAATAATTTAAGGGCAATAAGGACATCTACTAGGACTAACTACGGCAAACAAATGGTCAATTTTCAGGTTCCCCAGCTCATAATGCAGTCGGCAATAACTTTACAATTGCTGGAAACCAAACTACATTTAAAAAAGATCTACGCTCCTTTTTAATTGCCAATGAGTTAATAATTCTATAGATATGTTGCAATACATTTTTAAGTATTTTAACCAGCATTTTTTTTTTGTGCATCGGTTTTATTACAAATCTTGTATACCTTATTATTTTATTATTACGTTTATTATCCTTATTACGTTTATTATTATCCTTATTACGTTTATTTTTAGATTTTAATGTGTGGACAATGTCAATTTGCTATTTTTATGTGTGCCTAAAATTTATAAATGTGATCTAGTTTTTTTGTTTTTTTTTTCACCTCTGTGATTTTTACCGAGTGTTTTTGTTCTTTTTAATGTTTTATATGATGATGTTTTATATTTTGATGTCTTATATAATGGTGTCTTATATTATTTTTTACAAATCTTTGTTTTTACGACACTGTTTATCTTGAAGGTGAACATTTCGACAGACGTCTGCCTGGTTGCGTTAAATGTTATAAATAAATAAGGGGCAAACGCCAACCAATCCCTAAAAAATCGTAGGGTCCCAACGTTTCGGTGCCGGCTCGGCACCGAAACGTCCGACAACATAAGAATGACGAACGCAAATTTGATCAAAAGCGTAGTGCTGTTGCGGAACACTGCGAGGACAATGACCACCGCATCGACTTTAAAAATGCCCGAATCCTGGATGTAGAAACCAACTGGCGGCAACGGCTCTTTATTGAGTCATGGAGCATACAGACCACACGAGGAAATATTAATCGGTCCTCCGGCACCTTGCCCTCAGCATACGTCAGTGGACTACGACACTTAGAGGAGACACCAAAGAAACAGGCCCCTACCATAGAGGAAAACGAAGATGCTGATCCTCGTTTGTAAATAACCAACTTTGGAGAAAACGAAGGTACCGCACCTGGTTTCGAAAACTAACCACCGTAAAAAACGAAGATATTGCCCTACATTCACCACAGAAAAAAAAAAAAAAAAAAGCTGTTTTTTTTTTGTTTTTTTTTTTTTTTTTTTAAGTAGCTTTTTTGAAGAAGGTGCCGAGCCGGCACCGAAACGTTGGGACCCTACGATCTTTTAGGGATTGGTTGGCGTTTGCCCTTTATTTATTTATAACTGTTTATCTTGCATCCATTATCCGTATTTTTGCTACTGTTGTGCTGAACGAAGTTTACCTTTAGTGCTGTTGCTGTTGGACTTTGCCCCCCCCCCCCCCCTCCCCCTTTCACCCCGTTGGATATTGGTGCCCGGTCAGACGACACGATTGCCTTTTGCGCCAAGGCAGGCACGTATCCAGGGAAGGGGGGGGGGGGGGGGCCGCCCCCCCCCTTCCCCCCCCCCCCCCCCCCCACACACACACACCGAAACAAAATCCTGTACGTTCCTGCGCCAAGGTGCCATTTCAAGGAGTATGTATACCCATTGAATGAGAAATAAACTGATTGATTGCTACTCCGAAGAACTATTTGCACGTGCACCGCAACGTTCTCGGATATTAGGGAGTTTTCGTAGATCGTTTTCGCCGTCCCGCAAGGCCCTCCGCAACCCGCTACGATAGTGGGAACTCCACAGTCAAGGCTATCGGCGCGCAGGCGCAGTAGCAACTTCTTCGTTGCGGAACGCTTAGCGGAGGGGGCAACGCGGTCTACGAAAACTCCCTATTATCGGATCCATTGGAACGATCTACCTAATGCATGAAGGCGGGAGACCGGAGTCTCAACCCTGTTAACTACCCGAACGCCTTATATACTCGACAATTCAAAGATGCCCCTTCGCGGGTGAGGGGGGATCGGTGGCCGAGTGGTCTAGCGCACAGAGCCACTCGATATGGCAGCGTAGCTGCCAGAGTAGCGCCACGCTTTTCCCTGTGCCGCCCCTCACCGCGATTGGTCACACGGGGTACCAGCAACGAGCTGAGCTGGCTCGGTTTCCATAGCAACCGTGTGACGACTCGTCACGTGACCTCTCAAGAGCCGTGATGTCATCGGTAAGATGGCAGCGCCCAGGGCTGGTGGATGCGAGTTTGTTCGGTGCGCGGAGTCGTGATGTGCCGCAGCTTGACGACGATTTAGGGCTTCTTCGTGCCTTCTGACGTAGGTATAATGTGAAGATCCGAAAGAATGATACCTTATACCCTTTCTGTGCAGGATCGCTCTGGATATTAGCACCTGTGTGACAGCATCAGTAATATCGCCTTGGCGGTGCTCGGGTTTCCGGATGTGTTTAAAGATCGATAAGACATTTAGCATGCAATTTTCGCATTCCCTTAGCTTTATTTGAACGTTGGAGTGTCTGAGAATTGATGCGAAATCTATGCGTCGCATGTTGGGCCTTGGGGAATTTGTTTTCGCCCCAGGTAACCGCATGATCACAAACTTTTAGCGAGGAAGCTCCTGCGATGTTTACGTTTTGTACTAATCAACCAGGGAACCTGGGTTCAATCCCCACCCCTGCCCGTTTCGATCTGGATGAGCATCGTACCGGCCTGCGGTTGTGTATCACTACTGCGTGGTGCACGTTAAAGACCTATAGACCCCAGGCTAGCGGTTATGCTGCATTGGCTAAATTGCTCATCGACAGCGAGTGACTTGTCGCAACTTTGAAATGGCTGACCAACTACACGCACGCTGTATAAATACTCACACAACTCCCAAGTATACTAATCAACGATTTTACGATATGCGCAGCGCAAGTTCGTCTGCTTTTCTTTAGTAGGGGTTGTGGTGACGTCAGGATGCCGAGCTCTGATTGGTTCTGAATAAAGAATAGTGGGTAGGCCTCAAGGCAGCTTGCTTTTAGGTCTACCCACTATCCTTCAATCGGAGCCACTCAGATCTCGGCGTTCGACGTCACCACAACCCCTGCAAAAAGAAGCAGACGAACTTGCGCTCCACATAGCTTTTAGGATAAAAGTTTCGCATTTTTCTAGCTTCCTTTGAAAGTCTGAATTTCTGAGAATCATAACGAAAGGTATACGGCGCGTGTAGGGCCTAGGGGAAATTGTTTCAGCCCTGGGTCACCGAATGATCACAGCATTTTTAGCGAGGAAGCTCCTGCGACCTTTAACCTTTTTTACTAATCGCCAATTTTACGAATTGGCAGTTCTGAAGATTTTGATATAACTTGCTTTTGTTGCAATAGCTTGCATTTGATCGCAGTGTTTTTTGGTTTGTTTTTCAAGTGAA